AAATAATAAAAATTTATTCGAACATTAGTAACCAATTATGTTTTATTGATATAAGTAAAAATAATATATATTTTAAAACTTTTAAATTATATTAAAATGAACACTTAAACGCGTCAGTCTTGTTTTGATAGGAGTCTTCCAATGAAGATTTTTCATATATATATATAAGATCTTATACTCGATGTTTATTTAAGTGTTATCAAACTGCTTAGCATTTAAATGAAATCAACGGAGTTGGTTCAAGTGGTAAGAAGTTTTATATCGTTTAAACAATGACGGATCCAAAAATATTTTTTAGGATGTGTACATATTTATTAATAACGAAAAAACTTTATATGGATATAAATGAAATTTCAGGATGAACGCGCTTACTAAATAAACAATTAACATAAAGAAATTTGAATTCTAAAATGAACACGTGTACATATTGGGTTCAACATACATCCGTCACTACGTTTAAATAAAGTCACAAATTAAATTTACGACGTGGATCATTTCAAATTAATCAGAATAAAACCCTGAAATCAAAGGGAAAACAAAAGGTAAAAACAAATCCGAAAAGTCGTCGCCCATGTACCAAAATTAATATAGCTAAGGGCAGTGTTTTGAAGATCGGACCGGCCGGTTCAACCGGAAACCGCTGTCTAGTCCGGTTCAATGTACACCGGTTGAACCGCTACTAGTGAACCGACCGGAACCGTTCGAACCGGACCGGCTGAAAACCGAAAAAAACCCAGAAAAAACCGTCAATTTTGTTTTTTTTTAAATTAAACCAAACGACATCATTTGTTAAACGAGCCAAGTCGAACTCGAGTATTGTTGAGCTCGACTCGAACTTGAAAACTTTAAAAGTAAGCTCAACTCGACTCAAACTCACGAGCTAAAAATTATCAAGTTCAACTCAAACTCGAAATATAATATTGAAACTTGAACTCGAAAAGGCTTGAACTCAAAAAAAATTTAGCAGCTCGATTGAAGCCTAAAATTCGAGCTTAATTGAAGTGAAAGAATAATTCACTCAATGCTCACCAAAAGGCTCCATGATTTTGAATGTCAAATTACATCTATTATTTATAGAAGTAGTTGGGATGCTTTATATGTTTCTTAGCCATGTAGGATTGTTTGTTCTCATATTTTTACTCTTTAGACTTTTGGGATGTTCTTCTATGTTTTTTTAGCCATGTGAGATTGTTTTTAAAAAAAAAATTAAACCAAACAATATCATTTTGTTATGATTTTTTAGCCCCAAATTTATTTTTTAATTATAGTTATATAATTATATTTATTATTTAATATGTTTTACCTTAAATATTATGTTGTAGTTAATTTGAATCATTTTGTTTCACTTGATTTTATGGTTTTTAACTTATATATGTTATGAGTTGCTTTGAATATGACTTGTGATATAAAAAATTATTTTTTATTAAATATTTTTGGTATTTTTATTTAACTTTTTAAATAATTATGACGTCGTCCGGTTCTTCAGAGCGGTCGGACCGATTCGACCGGTTGAACCAGTGAACCGGTAGCATGACCGGTTCGCTAACCAATCTGGTTCTGAAAACCATGACGGATAATAATAATTAATAGGGTAAAATATAGTAATGTTCACTGAACTTTTTTAAAACTTTCATTTAGGTCCCTCAACTTTTAAAACTTACAATACAATCTCTCAATATTAATTTGTTTACAATATGGTCCCGACGTTACACTACCGTTACAGTCCCCCAACATCACAATTTGCAGCAATGAAAATTAGGGTAAATTATATAAATGGTCACTTAACTTTTCAAGTGCTTACATTTAGATCTCCCAACTTTTAAAACTTATAAAACAATCCTTAATTTCATTCTAAACCCCAAATTCTAAAATACTTCAATTTTATTCTAAACCCTAAATTCTAAAATACCTCAATTTAAGGTTTAGAATGAAATTGAATTATTTTTAAATTTGGGGTTTAGAATGAAATTGAGGATTATCTTGCAAGTTTTAAAAGTTAGGGGATCTAAATGTAAGTGACTAAAAAGTTAAGGGACCATTTATATAATTTACCCTAATTTTCATAGCTACAAACGGTGATGTTGGGGGCAGTGTAACGTCGGGACCATATTGTAAATAGATTAAATATTGGGGGACTGTATTACAAATTTTAAAAGTTAAGGGACCTAAATAAAACTTCAGAAAAGTTTAGTGACCATTACTATACTTTACTCTAATTATATTATTCTCTGCAACAACTGGATATATATTGCACCACCCACCGTCTCCAAAAATCCTAAAGCTTCCAGATGCAGTACCCCCCATCCCTTGGAAACCGTAAAAACAACCATTTTCGACAAGTGTCCTCCCACCTGTTCCCTGTTCCTCGCAATGCATTACCTCTTTGATTTACACGTATGCATCCCACCCTCCCCTTTTACACCACTATCTTCCTCTATATTAGATTCTCACATGACCAGCTCATCACACCCACTTGCTCTTACAACAGCAACATCATCTTTAAGCTTTGTCCAGGACAAAGATCATTGTCGTCGTCGTCATCTGTGTTCTTATAGGGTTTTGTCTGAAATGGCTACTGTGGGAAGAAATGTAGCAGCTCCTTTGTTGTTCCTCAATTTGGTCATGTATTTCATCGTGTTGGGGTTTGCGAGTTGGTGTGTTAATAGGTTTATCAATGGCCAGACTAACCATCCAAGTGGTTTACTCTTTACTTTTTTACATTATCAATGACGATGAAGACGTCGAAATCGTGAGATAACGATTTTAATGGCGTGTTCGTGTTAGTCTTTTTTTTCAGGTATGGGTGGAAATGGAGCGACGGGTTTCTTCTTGACGTTTTCGATCTCGGCTGCCGTTGTAGGCATAGTATCGAAGTTTGCAGGAGGGCATCATATTAGGTCCTGGAGAAGTGATAGTTTGGCTGCAGCTGGATCCTCTGCACTCATTGCTTGGGCCTTGACTGCACTTGCATTTGGGTGAGCTTTCGATTCCCGTTTTCGTTCGATTCGTTTTTTTTTATATATTTGGATACGAGTATAATTTATAAGATACGGTTACTCAATTTGCAGGTTTGCTTGCAAGCATATAAACATAGGAGGGTGGAGAGGATGGAGGCTGAGAATACTGGAAGCATTCATAATAATCCTCACATTTACTCAGCTCTTGTATGTGTTGGTGATCCACGCCGGTGTCTACAGCAGTAGGTATGGACCGGTTATCGAGATACCGACTACGGCATGCGAGGACCTGGGGACGAACCAGGGCCGAAGGCCGGCACGGGTGTGATGGGGTCTAGGGTTGATAAGGGACCACAGTTTAACACAACTAAATATGTAATTTCGTTTGCAGTTGAATCAGTTTCATGTTCCTATGTTCTAGTGTGATGATTAGACATGGATTTGCAGCATATCTGGTTTGTAACAAGGATTCTGGTCTTTTCCAAAGGTAACATTGTGTGTTATGTTCTTTACCAGACATTCTTTTCCTGCAAAATTGTTGAGTTCCATAGATGAAAACACAAGTTCAAGAAGAACATAATTATGTTTCAAAAGAATCAAAGAGTTTAAAATCAATTAAAACATGTAATAACTGTGGTTTTCTGGATCATCTGTTGGCCCTGTTTTAGTTTCTCAAGAACCACATGATGGCTATCTGATGAATGAAACCAAAAGACTCGGCATGAACGTAAGCTCTTAAAGGTGGCCACATGAATGAACATCTTATAGGTGAATACATGTATGAATCAATTGGACCTTTTCTGGGTGATGAATCATATGCACCAAGCTTGGACGACGATGGCGTGAACATCTTCATGAACTAATTGGACCAAATTCTTAGAGAGTAATTCATGAACAAGATGGATTAAATGAGTTGAAGACGATGGCATTTGGGGTATTTGATTCAATTAACAATTAAATGCCTCAAACGAATACGAACGAGGTCTATAGTGAATCGAACGAATAAGAACGAACGCAAACGAGAATATGAATCATTTAACTTAAACTGAACAAATGAACAATTAAACAATTAAACGAATGAAATTTTTATTCGTGTATATTCATTAAGAACTTTATTAAGAAATTTAACTTATTCGTATTAGTTTGTTAAATGTTCACTTGTTAAATGATAAACGAACATAAATGATAAATGAACATACATGAACGAACATAAAATTAATTGAGTTTATATTTAATTTTTTAAAATAATTTTAAGATATATATTTTCTTTAACTGAATTGATTATTTTTATTTGGGTTAAAATATTAATATGTTTAAAGTTAAAATATATTAAGACTTAATATTTCAAATAGTTTTAAAGATCGAGTTAAATATACTAAAAAGAACATTAACAAACATGTTACCGAACCTTTACAAATGTAAATGAAGAACGAATTCTTCGTTTATATTCATTCATTTAATAAATAAATAAACTACGAACATTTAATAAATAAATAAACTTAAACAAACTTAACTTTTCGTCAAACAGTTCACGAACGATTCGCTAAACTATCGATTCTTTTACCTGCCTACAAACGACCAAGGACCAAGGGGATAAACCAATGCAGCCAACAAAATATGCGTAACTCAGTTCTCTTTTCTTAGTTTTTCCAAGATTCATGGAATAAGGAGAGTAAGCATCACAGTGTTCCACCACAAATCCAATCTTATCACTAGTTTATTGAGTGTTCCATTTTTATCTGTTCAGAATATATTGACGACGTTAAACGAATATATTGACGAATATAGACGTTAAACGAATATATTGACGAATATAGACGTTAAACGAATATATTGACGAATATAGATGTTAAACAAACGTATTCGTGAACACAAATACGACCTTATCAGTTTAAATTCGATTCATTTACACCATTATTTCCACAGGACCAAATCAACCGAAATTGGAATATCTCTTTCCGTACAACCTAAGTTAGGTATGTTAGAAGCCATAAATGGAGAAAACAAAAGTAAGCTGCAGCTCGAAGAACACAGATAAGGCCATAAACAATCAGAATCCAATACTTCGCAGTACATTAATCCGAGTTTAGTTCTTAAGCAACATTCATTCATCTTCTCTAGGTGGAAAAAAAATAAAGGAAAAGCAATTGTAAGAACAGCCTTCCTAACATGTAACCTTACATGAACTACGACATGCAAATGAAAAACTCCAAGGCTATGCGGAAATTTGGAAGAAATGAACCTTAGGCTGACTCTCCATTGATGAAACCCTCCTTGCGACCTTCGAAACCCGGTCGCAACAGCTTCTTTTCCCTCTTCGCAATGCGTCGCATCTTCTTCTGGTGAATCTTGTCAGCTATATTCTCAGATCTCTTTTGCTGTTTCTCTGCTTTCAACTTCTCGGTTGTTTCAACTCTCTCATTCCACTTCTCGGAATTCTTCTGCTGCCTCTTCTTCTCCTTCTGTATACTCTGTTTCAACAGCTTTGGATCATCGTGGACCTTAATCCCTGAAGCTCTGTCCATTGCTGCCTTCCATGAATGCTTCTTCGCGATAACCTCTCCTTTCTCGGGATCCTTTTTAGCTTCTTCCAACTTCCTTGCATTTTCAAGCTCCTTGAACTTTGAAAGTTTTCTCTTCTTCTTCTTCCCATGGTTATCGTCATCCCCAAGTTTAACACGACTAAAAGTAAGTTCCTTTGCAGCTTCTTCAACATCCTTCTCTACTTGATCCTCATAATTACTTGCATCAACCTTCTTCTCTTCAGCACCGCCGTCATCCCTCTTTTGCTTCTTTTGAACATTACCCTTCTTATCATTCCTCTCATTCTTCCTCTTCTTCCCTTTATCTGAACCCGCAGTATTCCTGCCACCCCGAAGCTCCTCGATTTTCCTACGAAGCCTTTCCCTAAGTTCTTCGTAAGTCACCGACCGTTCCTCACCGCCATCTAAATCAGACATTATAGGTCTGACCTCGATTTCTTCCTCCTCACCATCACTATCCTTATTCTTCTCCTTCTCCAAGTTCTCCTTCAACAAATGGAGAGTCGATTTCGTCGACTTCTCGGGATCTAACCTATCTCTACGAGCTTTCTTAACATTCTCCCTAGATTGTTTCTTGGCAGAAGCCTTTTCAGCCTTGCTAAGACCCTGAAACCAAGGCTTATCCTTTTCATCAGGAAGGTAAAATCTTGCAGGTATTAAATCCACCAACTTGTCAAAGAACAAAGCATTTTCATGAATCATCGACTTTATATCGAATGTCGGTTCGGGCTCATTCGAAGTTTTATTCTTTTTCTTCCCCATCTGCATAAACATAAAAAGAAAACAAGTTTTGTTTTAAATCATAAAATAAGGGTTTCAAATGGCGGTGCGCGGCGCCGTCCGCCACCGCTAAAGACCTAAATAGCGGCGTGAACAAAATTTCACACCCACAGCAGCGGATCGAGACCGCAAAAAGTTCAAAGATCACATTAATCAAGAAGCCAATCTTCAAATTAAGATTATGGTTTCAGAAATTACCTCAATTAATATTTGGGTCGAGAACTTTACGTCAAGAGAAGCCTTGGTTCAGTGGTTGGAGGAGAGAAGAGGTAGAAGCTTGTTTGGCGGCGAGAATGTACGAAGAAACTAGGTCAGGATTTTTTAAAGGAAATGTTTTGGGTAAACTACTCATTTAGTACATCTATTAATTTTAATATTTAAACTTTTAATTTTTTTAAAAAAAATAATATTTAACGTTTAGTTTTCGTTTCATTTTAATACATATCGTTAAAAATTTAACGCGTTTAGTATCTAAACTATCAGTTTTGATCTGTTTTAGTACTAAACTTTTAATTTTTTTAAACTTAACGTTAAATTTTGAACAAGATACTAAAATGAAATAAAAACTAAAGTTTTTAACGGTGAGATATTAAAATGAAACAAAAACTAAACTTTAAGTATGATTCTGAAAAAATTGAAAGTTTAAGTACTAAAACAGACCTAATAGTTTATATATTAATCATGTAATTTACCCAAACTTTTTTATATATTAACTTTCTAGGGTTAATTGTAAGATACTTATAAACTATTATTCGAATTATATATTAGCCCCTAAATTTCAAAACATTTTAAGGGAAAAATGTAGAAAAGAAAATAAAAAAATACTTTGGACATAGCTTTCTAACTTTTTCTTTCCTCCAAATACTAATTTTCCTTTCTTTTACTTTGATTCAACAAAAACCCATAATCTAGAACTCTAAGATGGACCAAATTTGACCAAAAACTATGCTACATCATAATAAAGACCAAAAACTAAACTCCATGGACCAAATTGGAAAAGTTTCTAAATTTTAAGACTAATATTTAAATTTATATTTACCTATCAATCGGTCATAACATATATATATATATATACACACATAGGAATATATGCTTCTAGATTTGTAAGAAATCTTTGATTTTGATAACATGATACAATCAAGATGTGGGTAATCATACTAATTCAAGTATGTTTTAATTTTGGGTAAATAAAGCAAAAGATTTTCGGAAGTTATTGCTTTATTAAGTTACTCGAATATTAAAAAGTTATAAAATAATAGTTTGATTATGGATGTTATTTTGTTGAGTCTTTTGACTATCAAAAGTTACAAAATGATCACCCGGTTATTCATTATGTTCTAGACTCATTTTTTCCGATAAAAATTGATGGTTGTTTAAGCTAACATGATGACTTAGATATAATAGTCGTTTGAGATTTTGGGATTAAATTTTATTATCAAAGTCAATTAATTAATGTTCAACTCAGAATATCATTCATTTTTTTACCAAAAGGAATGCGTTTTGAACATAGTAAATAATTGGATGACTATTTTATAACTTTTAATAGTCGAATGACTCAACAAAACAATACTCTATAGTCGAAGAATCATTTTGTAATTTTTAATAATTGAGAAACTTAATAAAACAGAACCATATAATCATGGAACAACTACGTTTTTTACCCTTTAACTTTTAATCTCAAAGAACGATCAAATTAAATAGGAAGTTCTACAGTACGATACCTTAATATAAGACTAAAATAAAGCGTTACCGATTTTGTTATTATTTAAATAACAAAACCGATAAAAAATACCTAAAAATTATTATTTTTATCTAAAACATCAATTTTTTTAATATTTTCGGTAAAAGTACCCAACAATAACAAAACTAGTAGAAAAAATAACAAAACCAGTAGCGCTTTATCAAATATGGTAAAACGTCCAATAATAACAAAACCGGTAAAAATAATAATGTTTCCGGTTATTTTTTACCAATTTTATTTTTTAAATAATAACAAAACCAATAACATCTTATTTAACCGTATATTAAGACTGTCACACGTAATCATATTCAAAATTAAATGTATCTTATCAAAACCAAAAAATTTAAATCTTATCAACATTTAATAATTAGCCTACTCTAATGAACTTCTGACTCAACCGAAAGCATTGCATTTAAAAAATCTTACAAAATCAATATTAAAATCAAATATTTTTTTCTAGAAAGATGCTGCTAATCTTATTAAAAAAATAGAAATATCTAAAAATTATAATATTTTATAAATTTATAATTATCATCGTAAATTAAATATATAATTTTGATATTTTCTTATAACATTAAAATTAATCACTTTAGATCATATAAGGATCATATATGAACAAGATTAAAAACTTCACCCAAAATCTCGAACAAAAAATATATATAAACAAATTTGATTTCATCGACAAACGAACCACAAAAAGAGATAAAACTATTCAAATATTATCGATAATTGTTGACTAGAATCGAACGTCATGAAAAACTATTCACGAATGTAAAACCGCGTACCCAAATTCAATCTGCAAGTCCATAGTAGGAAATATCAACAAGATTATATATAAGAGTCATTTTGATAAGTCATGACATCATTAAATCTAACCCAAAAAAATATAAAATAAAAAAAAATAACCAAACGACTGAAAAAAAAGATAAAACGGGTATTACAAAGAAAAGAAAAATGTACAAATACAAAACTATTTATATTAAAAAACTAAAAGTGAAACAAAGAAGAAAAAAAAGAGAACTAACGGTCAATAACTAAGGTTATAGGCGTATTCATTTGTTAAGTTTTAAATGTGTTCGTATTTTGTTCGTTTAAAATTTTAATATTGTATTTATATTCGTTTATTTATTTTTGAATGTGTTTGTATTCGTTTATTTATTGTTCATGAGCATGTTTATCTAATTTTTACGGAAGTGTTCGTTATATGTTCGCGAATGTGTTTATGAAATATTCATTTAGTGTTCGTTTATTATTCGTTGTTATATTCAATTTTTAGTTTTATCATATCATTTGCGAGCTTAAGAAAAATGATAAAATTATATCTCTAAGGCTTAAACTCTTTAAAATTCATATTTCAAAATTCAACTTTTATCATGTGTTCAATTTAATCATATCTTCAGCAATATTTAAAAAATAAATAAAAGGAAAAGGATAACATGTAAACGAGTTTGTCCATAAGAAGCTAAAGCGCAGATCACTAAAATCCAAGCAGTCCACCGAGGGACTGAATTCTATAGAAATTCTATCCGAGCGAGCAGTAATGCCTATGCATTTATGTTATAAATGTATCTCCTTTGAATAGAAAAATAATACTTCTATCATGAATTCCGCAGATGCAAGGAAGAAGATAAAGATGCTCATCTGTATTACATTTTGAGTATTCATGGTGAAGGGAGAACAATTGTTTTTTGTAAATCAATTGCTGCTTTACGTCATATTTCTCCAATATTGCGCATCCTTGGCATCAATGTTTCAACACTTCACGCTCAGATGCAGCAGCGAGCTCGCTTGAAGGTTTCGTTCCTGTGATTGTGTTTATTATTCACTTCTTGTACTAGCCTGGCCTATATCATACCCAAATTTGTTGACCATGGATCGATAGCATACCCTAGTTTTCTCCCATTGTTTTTGCTTGAAAGTAACCCCTATTTCCGGTTCTCTTTTTGATGCAGGCCATTGACCGTTTTCTTGCAAATGAACACGGTATTCTTGTTGCCACTGATGTTGCAGCAGCAAGGGGACTTGATATTCCCGGTGTTCGGACTGTTGTCCACTATCAGCTCCCTCATTCAGCAGAAGTATGTCAAAGATGCCCATTTACAAGCTTTCGTTCATATTTTGTTAGTTTTATATCCCGATCTTGATTATATATGTTTTGGTTTTAGGTTTACTTCCACAGAAGTGGAAGAACTGCTAGAGCTTCTTCTGATGGGTGCAGCATTGCTCTTATCTCACCAAATGATTCCGCAAAGTTTGCCTCCCTTTGCAAATCATTTGCTAAGGTACCATTTTTGAAGGAAAAGTTGTCGATTCTTCTTTAAACCTAAATAATATTCTTATTGTATTGTCGGCTTTGAACAAGTAATTACTCTTTCCTAGTTCTTGAATCAAATTTTGCATTTGGTAGTTGGCTTACACGATTTACAAGTGCATCGGCTTGATATACAGGAAAGCATCAAACAATTTCCTTTAAAGAGCTCCTACATGCCTGAGGTCATGAAATGTCTCTCTCTAGCACGCCAAATCGACAAGATCTCACGGAAAGACTCCCAGGTATACAGATTTTAATAATTTAGCTATCTTACAATCCATATTAGAGTGTGGTATGATCTTGTCCTGTATACCTGCCCGGGTAATCTTGCTTGAAAATGGTGTATTTTCCTCCTAAATTCTCTTCGAATTTTAATTTCCCCCCTTTGCTTTTTCTTGTCGATCGTAAGCTTGTTTTTCTTTCATGTGGGAAAGGGCAAATACAAGCTGGTTGGAACGGAGTGCAGAGTTTTTAGAATTAGTAGTTGAGAATCACGACAGTGAGGAGGAAAGAGTGAAGAGTTTCAAGCAAAAGATAGCCAGCTCCGCTCACTTGAAGAAGTTACAACAGGTTTTTACTTGTTTTGAGGAATCACTGTAATCTTTGTTTAATTTTTCGAAGTTTTCCCATGTGTTTGGAGGGTCATATCCCCAAACTCATACATTATGAACATATGTCAAATATAAGTGTCCTTTACGGCTACTTACAAGAAAAAAAAAACAGAGTTGAACCCTGAATTCTGACTTCACCCTTTTTTTGGGTACAGGAGCTCAATGGATTGCTTTCACGACCACTCCATTCGAAAACATTTTCACATTGGTATCCAACTGCAGTGAGCTCTTAACAGTGTTCTTTGGTACTACTAATATTTTCAGTTCCCTTGGACACTTTTCTGGTTTGCGTTTCCTATACAATTTTGTGAGCAATTTTCTGATCTCGTAAGTTTTGCAGTGTTGTAATGTACATAGTTGGTTACGAATCGAAAGTTTCCGTAAAAGCATCCCGACAGAATTCAACTTTGCAGTGCATTTTCTCCTGAAATTTTGATTGCATTAGACAACTTATAATTCATGTCAATCTGTTCTATTTTTTTTCCAGGCTGGTGTTACACACATCTTATGCAAAATCAATTTGAAGAAATGGCTAAGCACAGTGGAGATGGCAAGTTAGTTTCAGGTGAAAACAAGAGACAGAAGATGGTGGTTATCGGTCAAGATTGCGTAGAGCCAGTACTGGCACTTCGGAATGCTGGTCTCGACGTAGTAAATTTAATGTTTCAGTTCACTTTTACTTGCCAAATTTTGTTCTTTCCCCGACAACCTTCTCGTTTACGAGTTCGCTTTATCTTCAACCAATGTGCAAATCAAATGCCTGACAGGGGAAGTTCCATCATATATAGATGCAAAGGTTGAAACCAACAAATTATGATGATAACATTCATATCGTCGGGCCCAATTTTGCATCGAGTCTAACAATGAACTCACTCTATCTTTATCTCTCAGGTGCTCATGGATGAAACGAGACGCTGAAACGAAAAAATACCGAGAGTGAATGCTCTTAGCTTCTCCTATTTTCCATTCCTCCAAGCTGTTGTTTCTCGGGCTCGGATTTGAATCTCAGATTCGGGTATGTGTTCGGCACAGTTACATCCAAAATTTCATTCATTTGTAGGATCAGGCGTCTGTATTGACGTCTGTGGAATACGTTAAACATGGGCATGGGCAAAGAATTTTGAGTACTTGAGGTAAATGTCACATTTGAATATGTAACCAACACTTTTTATACGTATTTTCATGTATTTGGAGAGTCAAAGGTTCATACCGATATTTGTCGGACCCATCATGGGTACAGACAATAATCTATGTTTTACTCGATATTGTTATATGAAGCTGTATATGAACATGAAAACCAGACCTTGGCCATTTAGACTTTGACAATACTAAGTACTGATACGAAAAAATAGTTAAAATACGACCCGGAAAATTAACTCGAATACATATTTATCCTTGCATTTGAAGATTCTATAATCGTCAACAGGATCAAGAACTTCACTAGAGTAATCCACGACTTAAATTGAAAAACAAAACCCGCAGACACTGGTGGTGGCACTGAACGGATCGAAAAAGGTCAAGGATCAACAACGGAAGAAATGAAGACGGAAGACGGTGGTGAACAAGGTCGGCGAAGCTCGCGATGTAAAAGAAACAATTGCAGATGACACTCAAATCTGTATACGAGACTTTAAACCTCTATTGTAAATATAATGGTCGAACTAGCCACAAGTACATGATGTAATTAATTAACTTGGGGCATAACGGGAGAATCAAGCACAAACTACTTCTGACTATGAATTCAACTCTTGTTAGTGTGGACTGTAAAGGGGTTCAAAAGTGACAATCACACAGTTGAACGGTATGTTGGATCATCGCGGACGTTGATGTCAAACAAAGGACAACAGATATCAAACATTTACTCGCATGCACTCGGTGCAACATCGGTCAGCGGTCATATTCTTGTTTTTGACGAAATTCATGCACTCGATCAAAGAAAACTTTAAAATTTTAGGGTGTGTAAGTTGATCTTAACTCATAATCTGAAGGTTCATCTACTGCATTGGCCGTTAAAGCCACTTCACTCCAGTCAGGGTAGTTCTTCTGCAGGGCTTATACTGCTTGCTGATGCAGATAAACATCGGGGTCGGGCAAAAGCAGTCGCCAGTGGTCACTTATCTTCCTCCGCAACAGTTTCTGATCTGCATGGCCGACAAGTGACCATAACTGATGTTGAGGCTGAGCTTGCATCAGGAACTAGTAGGTATAGATCTTTGAATGTATCTTTGCCACAACAAGCATTTGATCTTTTCATAACCGGTATAGATCAGTAATCACAATTCCGATAGATGCGGGATCGAAGCGCAGTTGTAGATACATTGAGTAATCCATGTTTTGTTAGTTGAAGACCCTGGAATGGTTCCCCCTGTGCACTTTCGGTTGTATATCGGCACGGGGCCGCCCAGTGTTTGGAATCTCTATGTTGTTTTATCTTAAATTTGTTTATATGAAATCGTTTGCAATTTAAGAGCAAAAGATATCTTCCATTGCAGATTGTATTCATTAAAAAAAAGAATCAAACAAAAAGAAAATGCAGAGGAAATTAAACATATGAACAAAGTAGAACCAAAAGAATCAGTATTCATATTAATACTAAGCTGTTGCTTCAAGTACAGGAAACTATATTTCATGCCAAAAAAAAAAAGTTGCAGACTGTCTAGGATTCAGACATGGCTGAGTCTGGGATGACCCAACAAGGCGGTGGCTGAATCTTGTCCGAAGAAAATTCAAAAACCGGCTTCAAGCTTCCATCTTTCATGTTATATATCCCCACATCATGCCCACCATACAAGTAATCTTCTTCCATCCTCTCCCAACAATCATCACTGAAATAAATGCAATCCTTTTCGCAGTTCAGAAAACACCGAGTCGACACCGAAACCGACTGATTTCCGCCCAAGAATAGAGCGCGATCACCTAAAGTATCCATCTCCACCCACTTGAGCTCATTGAAATCCATCTTGTAAACATGGAACAAGAAGGTCCTGTAAGGACAAACCTTGGGGTGATTGCTGCCTTCTGTCAAAAGATCATGTTCATGAAGCAATGTCCCATCCCAATCCACATAATCCCCACTGAACCTCACCACAAACAAAAGATCCCCACACGATTCAACCAAGTAAAACCTGCAGGTGCAAACATCTCTCAACGATTTTTCTTCGGCAAGCGACTTGTGGGGAAAAGCAAAAATGAAGTCGGACTTTTTGACGACATGGTTGCCTCCGATGTGGAAATCCCAGACTTCGATACTGTTTTTGTCGCTTAAAGCATAGAGACGGTTTCGATGACATATGATATCCTGATAGGGTGGATGGCTGAAGTCAAGAATAGTCCAATAATCGCTTCCAATTGCATTATGTGCAATCTCCTCACCGTTATTACAAAGCAAAACCAGACCACAGTTTCCATTGTCGTTGTTTTCTTCTTTTCCGGTCAGAATCGCTTTCTGAATTAAACATTCTCGCACTTGTTGTTTCCCATGACACAACTTAAACATAAACGTACGAGATCCTTTTAAGACATTGAGGTAATTAAGTTCGAATTCACCATCAACGTTTCGTACCATCTTTTCCAACCCTAGCAGACGATCGACAGAAGGGAGTTCGATCTTCACTTGCTTGAAAGGGTTAAACAGAAACGGGACTTCCTTCTCTTGCAAGAAAACCAACCATCCATGTGAAGAACCAATGCAGCAACATTCACTAAACTCCTTGGGCGTCGTCTTCAAGCTATAAAGACGATTTTCCATGAGATTCAAAAACCCATGGTAGCCATTGTTGTTAACGTTAATACCATCTCCTTCCTCAACCTGTTTCTTGGAAGGAAGCATGAGCCATGGCATCTTTGAAGTAAGCTCGTCTCCAAGTAAGTTCCATGAACGACAAACGGATTTGGCTTGAACAAGATCATTGAAATTTATCCTGTGGAAGATTGATCTCAAGATATGCGCAGGAAGTTCATCAAGCCTTGATGTCAATGGCGATTCCTTTCTTCTTTTTGTCATGGTAGCTTGCACCGTCATTGAAATTTGAAAAGGAAAACAAAAACCGCAGGGTTCTTTTTTTCCAAATTGTGAACGGTATTTATAAGTAAAGTAACTTGTATTCCAAGAAACTTGAGAAATATAATTTTAGGCTTATATCATAAATAAGTACTTAAAAGTATATTATATTTTTCATTTAAGCACCTAAAATTATCATTTTGGTCAAAATAGGTACCTAAATTATACTATCATTTTCATTTAAATAGCTAATTTATGCTTTAATTAATCCATGTGTTAACTTTTTCAAACTTAGATGAAAATTTTTGAATATTTGAAGTACCTATTTTGATCAAAAAGATACTTTATGTATACATTTTAATCGAAATAATACATAAAGTATTCTTTAATTAATCCATGTGCCAATGTACATTTAATTGTTCGTCTAACCGTTGTGGACTTATGAATCAATCTGAAAATGCTGAAAATCAAATCGAATTTAAGAAATGGAACTAAATAGTGTGGTTTGAATCAATTTTCAATAAGTATTATTCACACACACGTAACACGTGTGATTCCGGCCTCAAGCACGGCTGAGAACCGGCACCGAAACGATCAAATATGCTGCACACAAGAAATCAAAGATGTCATGTTCCACCACTAGGCTTGCAGTAAACGTAGTCACCAAAACAACTTGGTCCACGAACTTAAAAATGGGAACACAGCAATCAACAATCTCAACAGCAAAGGTTCATTGCTTTTGCTTTGTTCCATACTAGACTTGTCCTTCACCTTTGCGGCCTGTTGTCGTCCATTTTCAACTGCTGACGGTGTTCTCATCGATCCCATGCCATCGAGCTCGTCCCATCCACCAGAGTTACTCGTGCCTTGGTCACTCTCGTTGAGAGAATTGTCATCGACAGTCCATGATTGATAACCCTCCTTCATTCCCTTTCTATTCTTCGAGCCTTCATGTTCTTCTCTCTCCCTTTTAACATTTCTCACGGTGCGTCGCGATGCGTATTTTTTCAGTTTCCTCACTCTGGCATTACGCTTCTGCTTGCTTCGTGGCTTTCCCGAGATCGTTTTGAAGGCCAAAGTTATGGCCGACTTCCCAAGTGGAAGTGCAGGTGCCATGAGGAAAGCTTTTGGGCCAGTGGCAAACAACAACGAAATTAAAATCGGAGGTAGTGTCCAACCATAGGATTTGAAAACCTGCATTGATCAATGGCAAAGAGTATTGGCACCAACAGAAATGATTTACTGTAAATACAAACACATGTTCCATGAAACAGGAAGTATCGATAAAAGTAACAAACTTTACGATATATCGAATCGGGAGAAGAAAAACGAATTCTTTGGCAACGATTCATTTAAAATTGCTTTCCTATATAGAGCATGATTTAGTACTAATTCACAATGATAGCACCCTCTCTTCATGAACCATGCATATTTGGTCTGCAAAATCTTCAGACCGATAGTAGATGCCTGCATTTGCAAGCCATATAACTAAGATTTTAAGCCCAAGAGGTGAAGCCCTACACAATCCAATGTTATGTTCCGCGGAAGCTAACGCTAACACTCGCCATGACCAGCACAAATTCTGTTTGCAAAAGCTTCAGACGATTAGCTAATGGCCGTGTAACCTAATACTAAACCTTCCATGTAGTTTCTCCGGTACAAACTAGTTAAACTTGTCCAATCTACCATTCGAACCCCTTATTGTGAAGGACATCATAGGGTTTTTCCAACATCGATTTAGCGAAATACTTCCTGAAAACCAGGAGCCTTAATTGGATACCTAAAAGATTCTTACTAAGACACGGTTTACAGCTGAGGAAGAACAGCATATGTAAGTCGTGAATTTGATAAGGTTTCGAACTTGCAGCAGAAGATAGCACACTCTCTCCATGATCTGCATATGCAAGCCATATGACTAAGATTTTAAGTGCAAGAGATGAAGTCCCTAAACAATCCAGTGTTATGGCCTGCGGGAGCTAACACTAATACTCGCCATGATCGGCACAAATTCGGTCGGCAAAAGCTTCAGACAGTTAGCAAATGGCAGAGTAAGCTAATACTAAACCTTCCATGTAGTTTCTCTGGTACAAACTAGTTAAACTCGTCTCATCCGCCATTCGAACCCTTTATTGTGAAGGACATCAAAGCCTTAATCGGATTCCTAAAAGATTCTTAATAACACATAGTTTACAGCTGAGGAAGAACTAATTATGTAAGTCGTGAGTTCCATAAGATTTCGAACTTCAGCAGAATTAAACTTCTTCATCCTACTACTTGTTCACAAGGAAGCAAATTAGACCATCAAATGCTTCAGAGCCATTGGATGAACAAAGATAAGGCTAATGTCAACCAACCAAAGTTGATTAAACAAAAATGACACTTGGACTCTGTTATACCCCAACATCAATACCGCCGGAGATACTATCCCGCACTAGGCGGCTCCACCGGGAAACATACTCAGGTCACCGTCATCGGCCAACCACCGCATGAGGACATCACAATCACCATCTTTCCTGTTGTACATCAAACTAATTCCAAAAATAGTACAAAAAATTCAGAATTTTAATTCATTGCAACTAAAAAGTAGCAAACTTTACCAACTTTCCAACTTTATCTTAGCATCAAAAAGAGTAAAGATTGTACCTTGAAAATCCAAATGCTATCAATGATCTCAGAATTCATCATTTCATCATCACAATCATCTTCTTCTACGTCGTCGTTTTGTTGGGTGTTAAAGCTGAAACCTTTGGAATGGATTGTCTCGGCATTAGAATCCCACTTTCTTCTCTCCCTGCTGCTGCTATCTCTGGCTGCGGATGAGCTGAAACGACGGCGTAAATGGGAGGAGGAGGGAGGGTAAAATGGGAAATGGATGCTGGTTTTTTGTAGTTTGGTGAAGAAGAACAAGGGCATGGTTGAGCCGCTGTTGCTGCTGCTGCCATTCCCGTTTCCAGATTCTCTGTTTCGGTTATTTTTGCCATTTTGCTACGTTGTTTTTCTTCTCCATTGATATGATCGTTGGTGATAATAAAAAAACTTAGCAATCCCACCACGACGTCGTTTCCCCTAGTAGAAGTCTTCTGAATGATTTATTATGAATATGTAAAAAACTAAAAAGGTATTATATTGTGTAATATTATCCCATTGTTATATAACATGTTAAAAGAATAATTATTAAAATTAAATGTTAATTTCAGTTAAATATATAATATGAAATATATTTTGATTTTGATTTAATTTTAATAATGATAATTTAATTTATAAACATTTAAAAATAGATGTATGTATTTATAATAAAACCGATGATTAAATAAAAATGACAAAAACACGTAAGAGATCCTTATACTTTTTTTAAAAAAAGTAATGTGGTCTTTTTATTATTTTTTTCTCTTAATGTGACATTCAAACTCAGGGAAATAAGTCCAATGTAACCCTTTGATTAACGTGTTTTGTCGTTTGACCATGACAGCGACAAATCACAATGTTGACACGACAGTCCACGATAGTTGATAACGTGGCGGATAACATGTCAGATGGGTTAAATTGACAATTCAAACATAACAGATGAACTAGCACGTTAGTTAAGTGGACCGCACGTTAGCACTGTAACGATTAAATGACGAAAAACGTTGGCCAAAAGGTCACATTAATTTTTTTTTTAAATAATACGATAATCACATTAATTTTTTTATTTTTCAAAAGTAGAAGGACATCTTATTCGTTTTTGCCAATAAAAATTGGATAAGAGTAACAAGAAGTTGAAACGAATGGGTTTTGAGATTTTAAATTTATAAATTTGTGTAAAATTAAAGAATTTTACATCAAGTGGATTCTAACTCCTTCATAGGATAGGAGGATCATGTTATACAATGTAAAACTCTTTTAATTTTACACAAATTTAAAACTGTAGCATGAGTGAAAACATATAACTGAAATTAAAATATGTACTGAGAAAAAAATAATGAGTTAATCTCAGACATATATTTTTACTCATCCAACGATCATAAATCTTTGTAAAACTAATAAGTTTTACATTTTACATTGTATAAGTGGATCCTAACCCCTTCATGGGATATGATCATATTACACAATGTAAAACTCTTTTCGTTTTATACAGATTTAGGACTGTTGAATGAATGAAAACAGATGATTAAGATTAAAAGTATAAAATGTAAAGACATTTACCGGAGAAAAAACGAATCAATCTCAATCATATATTTTCATTCATCCAACGTTCCTAAAACTATGTAAAACTAAAAGTTTTACATGTATATGAATCCTAACCCTTATATATAACTACTTCAAATATATGTTATTAGATCAACTACAAATTAATTTTTAAATCTTTGGATGTCAATAATGTATCAATTATGTTTTAACCAATTTAATTCTTAATTTAATATTGATTAATTTATTAATGATTTGAATGCTAAAATGATTCGTTCAGTCCATTTTTTTATGCGAATGCATGTTTTAGTATGTTTTGGATGTAAATTCATGTTCAGATGTTATCTAAGACGTTGAATATCGGTTTCAAACAAAAATATATAGCTCGGATCTAAAATATAGTGTCAATAAGATTCCAACACGTGTATTCACGATCCGATCCGATTCGTATAATTTAACACTCGAATTAAAGACGAGATGATCAAAAGGACTTGAATGATACGATACCGATATTTCGAGGATTCAATCAAAACATTGACATTTTGACATCAACTTTATATGAATTGAAGAATTCTTAAAGGTTTGTAAAGAGCTAGGAACTAAATTATAATTACCAATCTATTTTATGTCAATAAGCAAGACATCAAAAATTCGAAATCAAACCAAAGACAGACAACCATTTCCAACATCCATTACCTAAACAAATAGTAGATGCAACAACCGACGTTCTTAATCCCGATTCTACTTGTTCGAGTTCGACCGGTTTCTACGATGAAGACGTAAACATGTTGTTTAGTTCGACTGGTTTCTACGATGAAGACGTAAACATGTAAACAACGAATGGGAAATACATTATCGGATTGGCATCTACCTACCAGCTGAGAAACTTTACAGAGAGAAGCAAAGTAGTGTTCGAGTAGTTTGTGGCCGTAACAAAATAAATAATAATCATCCGGCGAGTAGCTACAACGATGGTACACATGAAGACGGCGGGAGGGGATCAAATCTGATACAGAATAAATATTGACTGAATCAATTACTCGCTATACTGTTCCGACTCTTCATTTAATTTTAAGACGGGCATAGGAATAAGACACTCCAAATACACAAGAAAACTTGGAAAAAGTTGACATAACATAGACTCGTCAAATACATATTCGTATTCGAAACTCAAAACCGAGTCCACATAACATAGATTCGTAAAATCAGAATTACGTTTTTGTTCACTTTTATTTCTTAAATGTTAGTAAAGGCGGCCTCAATGCATTCACTTTTTCTAACTACTACTCAGGAATTATAGTTCTTGTCTTGAAATGTCAATAGAGTGAAGGAAACTAACCATCAAAGCCGAGCTGCCAGTCAACTGAACAGGCGTTATCGGTAACACTAGCATTCTAAAGCATATGTTGGGACCTACAACAATATTAAAATAATTAGGTTGATCTCAAACTACGATTGGAAAGAAAACCCGATAAGCTCTCGGCGATTTAATCGTCCTAAAGAAAATATGGTAAGAAAATAGGATAAACTCAGTGATTTCTATCCTTCTACAGCAAATAGGAAGACCGAATAATCCCACTAATGGAAATCAGTCTATGCATCAGACGAATTCAAACTAAAAAGAAATGAAAAAGCAATAACATTGGCTTGTTCAAAGAGAAATCATAACGGGAAGAAGTCGATGTATTAAATTTTAAATGAGCCTCACCGACACACGAACATATATGAAATTTATCAGTAAACACGAGGAATCCAAGAAAAATAAACCTGCAAACTTGGGCCTCCTACCTCGAGCATATTTTCATCAAGAAAACCGGATGTGTTGTGTCTCAAACCATTTGGACTATCATACTGGAGAATCCTTAGCTTTCCTTCCTGCATTGGGAAATGTAGAAATTTGAAATAATTAGTCAGCCGCTACACATAAAAAAAAAACAGGATTAGTACCAAAAACACAAATATGAAATTCATTGCAATGTCAATTGCTGACCTTTGTTCCATATACAAGGCCACCTCCGACAGAGGGATGAAAGCAAGCCACGTTTACCTCATCCTCTACGCTTGGAAGAACTCTCACAAGCTCCATGTCAGAAACTCTGTACACCTGAGTAACGAAGTAAAACAAATTACATGAAAAGCACGAACACAAGACGTGATAGAAGAGATTTTATATTATTAAAACAATACCACAATCAGATAGATGAACATTTATAAAGAATAAGGTTTAAACAGAGACACTAGCTGTGATTGAGCATATAACACTGTGGACATGCATAAAACATTTAAATGTCTTTCAACATCCAGGAGAAAAACAATTCTCAATAAATTAATAAAACCGAGGCAACTGAACCACAAAAAAACATAGATAAAGGAAATCACAAGCTTTTACCTCCAGAATGGTGTAAATGGGCACAGTGGTCTGTCCATCTATTACCACACTTTTGAGAAGTGAGCTGTGGCGACGACCATAGGCAAGTAATATATGCTCGGATGTGGGTGAAAACTGTAAATTAGAAAACGTTAATATATTACAACTTTGCAATTGTTTCACATACAGCAGTATGAAGGTGTCTCCTAAATATGCATGGACATCCCATAGCACAAAAATCCACAAATCCCAAGTCCCAACAAAAACAAGTTTTCATTTAATGAACTGAATACAATAGTCTACACAAAAAGGTGAACGAGGAGCGAGAGTTGGACCTGAATAGATGTTAAGCAGTGAGCAGCTCTTATTGCCCGTGAAGCAAGCACCAATCCAAATCTACACAAAAGACCACCAAAATTACAAAGATTAATAATATAAACCATGAGCAGAAGCGAGGGTAGGAATATGGAGAATAGATTAAAAGATTGGAATTTACGTGGCCTCCTCAAGCGAATATATACGAAGCTCATACATAACTCGATGTGCCAAAATTGGGTGGCGTGTGGGTGATGTTGCAACTCCTGCAACATCAGAATTAAGCTGGCTCTGGACTCCGGGATCGGCTTCCAAATGAGGAAGCATGCAGGCAACGCAGGCTGCCAAAAATCTCCCACAAGGTGAAAAATGTGCACCCATTTCACTGCAATTTTGTTTTCAGATAACAGTTCAAAGAATATCAGTGATATTTTGCAGTATACATAAGAACATAACAACAACAGGATACCAAAGGAGATCAGTTCCAGAAGAAGCTGAAATACACGCTATGGAATAATTAATAGACAATGCCTTCTCCAAACTACACGGCAGAAAACACACCTACAAAGCACAGCATGCGGAATGGTCAAGCGACATTTCTCTGGTTCAAGGAAAGCACAAGGATCTTTCATATAGTGTGGCCATATTCTAAGTTTAACAGTGCAAGGAAGTTCTGCTGCTGCTGCTGCCGCAAGAGATGTGGCAAGTTCCGATTGAATTCTGCTGGCAGCAGGTTGAGGATCACTACCATCATGTATGATGTTGCTAAAACCAGATTCTGCAGTTCCACCTGCGGAGACCATGCGAGAGCGTGAAGAACGATGCCGTGAACTTGATCTTCCATGAACTCTTGACTGGCCAACACTCGTGGCCATACCTGAGGAAGCTACTGAAGCAGAAGTTCCTGTATCACCAGCTGGAAGTGAGTTCTCATGACCACCACCAGTAGCCAAACGCATATTGCGCTGACCAGCTTGAGTCTGACCGATTAACCATCCTTGCAAGAAAGGTAGCTCCCATGAGGTTGGATCACCAAAAGGAAAAAACTGAGTAGTTCTTTCCACTGATTGCACCTCCATTGTCTCCATGGGCTCCATTGAAGAATGGGAAACATCAGTTTCCATCTCAGTTGGTAAAGGATTGCCTCCTGTTTCTTCTGGCAA